GCAGCGGCGGCGAGCACTGGCTGTTCACCACCTCGGGTGTCAGGTTGTAGCGCCGCGACATCAGCAGCAGGTCACCCTCAGTCTGCATCTGGGCCACGAGCGGGATGGTCGTGCGCAGGTCCACACTTGCGCACGTGCAGTTGTCGTGCTGGGCGGGCGTGCAGCTGTAGCGTGGCGCCACCTGCATGTACGCGAAGCGGATTGGGGAGCCGTCGGCCACCACGTGGCCGTTGGCCTGGATGCCGGTGCGCCGGTCGGTGACACGCACTCCGTGCCGCCGGCTCCAGCTGCCCACCTCGCGCACGCGGCGCAATGCAAACGTGCGCCGGAATAGGCGACCGCTAGTACCATTCAGCTGCAGGCAGAGCAGGTCGGGCAGCCGGTCGAGCTCGGGCTGCCGGAGGGCGGCGCCGCAGTTAAGCTGGCCCAGCAGCAGGCCGGGCCGCGGCGCCCAGTGCGGCAGCGGGCCGCGCGCTCGGCCAGTACCGGCAGCCGGCGCCCAGCAGCAGCACGCGCACCATCGGCGGCCGGTCGAGCAGCAACTCGGCGCGGAATGCGCGCCAGCAGTTGAGGCAGGTGCGTATTGCCAGCGGGTGCGGCCAGACCGGCAGAGGTGGACCGTGTGCGCTGGGAAATCGCCGCACAAGCGTCAGCCCGAGAGCGCCGAGCTCCAGCAGACCCTCGGCACGCAGCTGCTCTACGATCTCCAGCAGGGCGGGCAACCGACAACAAGGAGCCGGTAGCGTTGTGAGGCGGCGCAATCGGAACCACGCCTATGTCTCTGCCAGCAGCACCGAACAGGGAACCGAACGCTGCCTCCAGATTGAGCGCGGCCAGTTTTTTAGGGATCTGTTGGGCGGCCGTGTGCCGCAGCAGGCCACCGCCGCCACTACCACGCGGAGCTGCGCCGGCCGCGCCTGGTGGTCCGGTGAGGGCTGCGTCCGGTGGTCCGACGAGACCTGCACCTGGTGGTCCGGTGAGGGCTGCGCTAAGTGGTCCGGTGAGGGCTGCGCCCGGTGGTCCGGTGAAGGCTGCGCCTGGTGGTCCGGTGAGGGCTGCGCCTGGTGGTCCGGTGAGGGCCGCGCCTGGTGGTCGGTGAGGGCTGCGCCTGGTGGTCCGGTGAGGGCTGCGTCCGGTGGTCCGGTGAGGGCCGCGCCTGGTGGTCCGGTGAGGGCTGCGCTAAGTGGTCCGGTGAGGGCTGCGCCCGGTGGTCCGGTTAGGGGTGCACCTGGTGGTCCGGTGAGGGCCGCGCGGGGTGGTCCGGTGAGGGCTGCCACTGGTGGTCCGATGAGGGCTGCGCCCGGTGGTCCAGTGAGGGCTGCCCCAGGTGGTCCGATGAGGGCTTCGCCCGGTGGTCCATTGAGGGCCGCGCCTGGTGGTCCGGTGAGGGCCGCGCCTGGTGGTCCGGTGAAGGCTGTGCTGAGCGGTCCGGTGAGGGCTGCGTCCGGTGGTCCGGTGATGGCCACGCTCGCCGGTACGGCCGCCGGCCGGCCAACGTCGTCGGACGCCGCCGCCATCGCCACCAGCAGCGCCAGCAGCATGCCGAGCCGACGGCGCAGCGTCCGCCTGCGAGCTTCAGGAGGTCAGCTGGACCTCACGACCATCCGCTGCCGCGGCAGGGTGTCCGCGGCGAGGCCAGCCGTTTGTTTACAGACTAAAGCGGGTCTCGGATGGTGCCTTATATAGGAACAGCGTTTTGTTGTAATCGATGACCAACGGGTTTCAGCGATTAGAAATACGTTCATAGCTATGACGGTTTGTTAGAAGGTATCATTAAGCTGCGATAAATGAGGTGGCCATTTTCTGCTAAAATTGGGAAACGCTCTTTACACCCCATATTTTGAACGTCGACGTGATAGCTGTTGTTTTGTAAAACTAGGCTGTATCCGTGACGTGAGCGATGATTTTGAACAAAATTGCCATAGTGCGACATTTTCATCAGTTGCTCATATCTAAGTCATGTAACAATTCCTCGATAAAGCCAAACAATGGCGAATAACGCCAACACTTAATTTCGATGTCGCTCACGTCCTAAAATGACTCGAGGAAATCGAACGTTTCCCGTTCAACTTGGTGGCGGGATCGTTCCCAGTCCAGATTATAGGGAACAGGCTCACTTCTGTGGAATCCCTGTCTGGTACACCCTGGCAGCCGCACTTGGCTTTCTCGCAGGTGTCGACCGTATCCGACCCGTTCTTTGTTCTTTGTCAACCTTGATCGCAGGAGGAGGCGATTTCGATCTAAGACAGGTAGACGAAAAAAGTGTACAACAGATGGAATAAAAGTGATTTATCACCTCATGTCCATCAAATTGATGGACATGAGCAGTACAGCCGCAAGCAACAATGGGGAAACAGACAGCCAGTCCACGTAACCCATGACACTGCCGAGAACCCGACGAATCACACATTTCATCACTATCACACGGTGTGATCGCGTGATCACATGATTCAAACCACTGTGAGGCGTGCTGATGAGTAGGTGATAAGTCTTTCGCGCAAGATATCTCCCAGATAACCCTCAACATCACGAAACGTAAGGTCGGGTGCGATGAGCGTGGTGTCTATGATGAGCACTCATCTGAGGCTTGTTGCTTTCCTATGCCACTAAAATAAGCAATATAAAATGAGCAAATAAGCTGCATAACTAGCAGCCGTCCTCGGAGCGGCGGGGTGCAGCGTAAGGCCTGCCTCCAATTGTGTGCGCTTGCCTGCTACCTAAGTATCGGTCGCGATCTCTCAGAGATTGGTGTTGAAATTTTTCGTGATAGGTTAGTAAATATATATTTTTATTGACAGTAATGCCATTTTCTAGTTTTTATTTTAATACAGGCGACTTCATGCAGCTGTGCCATTATTTTATGTACCCCTACAAAAGCAATGAGTTGCAAAGTTCTCCTTTTTTTGCAATCGAACTTTTGGCGTGTTCTTACAGATTGACAAACACTTCTTAATAAAAAAGCTTCCATCTCTTAAAAATCTTACCGCTGAAGGAAACTTTAAGCTGTTCAGTGGTCAAATAGCACGAAAGTTGCAAAAATATCGCAATACTGCACATTGCGTGAACAACAAATCCCCAATCAACAGCAGCCCGCTGCGACGCTGCAGGACCGTCCATAGATCACGTTAGACATGTGTGAAAGGGGTGTTTCAATAGAGCGTGCTCAAACGTAATAGGGATGAGGTTTTAGGCAGCGTAACATTGCCTGCAGGTGTGGTTGCAAATTGCGCTACTGTTATATCTTAAATTCTCGAGGGAGGATGCTGATGGCTTCCTCTGATGAAAAGTAACACGTCCATCTTTTTGCATCTCTAGCTTAACACGCGCTCGGATAGGGTCAGTTTGACTTCTACCGAAGGTTTTTACAGAATGGCTTCCAAGCGGCGCGGGGTAGCCGAGCCAAATTTTGCATAGCAGTAGACAATTGAATAGCGAGTCGTTTGGTATAAAACATAAGATGCAACTCTTAATGTCACTGATCTAAGACAGGTCAGAGTCAGGTCATGAATTAAGCGAAGACAATGTCTGGGAAATCGTTCAATCTGATGCAATAACGGAGTGCTAGACGAACCTATACATCTCTGACATAGTTTCTTAGGAAACACAATAACCGAATTATCAAGTTCCACTGACCTAGGGTCAGATATGAATGCCAGGCCAGAGACAAACCAACCTGTTTTGTTCCTCTAAAGCTTACTGCTCATGGTAATTTATGCTGCTCATTTTTTAAAATAAATTTGATCAGAACCCTTTGAGTGGATGGATTTCTGGGATCAGCGCTCACGCTAAGCAGTGCTTGTTGTGTGAGCCCTGACCCCCACCATCCGATCGTGCAATTCCAGGCAACGGCTTAATTTAGTGGCGAAAGCTTAGCGTGCCGCAATGCTCGGCACGGTCCGTCCTGCCCTCTGACATCAACTGACCTTTAGCGCGACCGCTGCCACCGGCCGCAGGCCACACCTGCCAAGGGCAAATAGCGGGCGCCCTAAAGCGACTCGAACCCACCCTGCCGAGGGTGGGTGGATTGGAAGGCAGGCGCTCTAACCAACTGAGCCACCGGGGCAGACATTGAGCCACCGGGACGGACAATTTTGAGCTTATCGATAACAGGAACCACATTATGCATCCTCCATGGACTTCCTAAAGATCATAATAGGTCACTGATCTAAAACGGCATAGGTCAATACCGCATGTTTGGAAACATATCGCCTAGCGCAATATTTGACGCTTATTCAAATGCAACTTAAAGCAGTATTTTGTGATCTTGGTCACCATGACCTGCAAAAGGTCAAACAGGGTCACTGACCTTGAACGAGCATCAGTGACCTTTTGCATAGACTTAGAAGAACAGGTATCCAGGCACTTTGGACACCAATCTGGAATTTGACCCTGTTTGACCTTATTTGATCCGAAGATCATGACCTTGGAATGTTAAAGTTGGACACAAGTGAGTTCACATGCAGGCTAACACATCCCGTGAATTTGGTGCCTCTAGCTCTCTTAGGTTCTGGGATTTCAGGGAGTTAGATTAACCCCGCCCGAGCGAAGGGTTTTCAAGCGGCAACCCGGGCGAATGTTAATTACGGACCAAACGTTACTTTCTGAAACGCTTTGCTGGCAAGACGTTACCTGGAGAAGAGGTTTTCGTGAAGCATAACAAGTGCGTAACCAGGTAGGAAGGGGTTGAAAATGGCAACATATGCATGAGGTATGCGTGGACGGCCCCGTTCACTCCCCATACAAAGTTAACATGAAACTTGTGATTATGCATGGATGCAGTTCACTTTAACATACTTCCATTGGAACGTTCCTGACCTGCTGCTCTCATGCACCATATCCGTATTCTTGAAACTGCCTGACAAGTCCAGTAACGTCAACCAACGGGAAATCCCAGAGTGCCTTTGTGCCTGACAATGAGCAGTGCTATGCTAGAGACTGTACCGTGGTTTTCCCCGCTGGACGCAGGTGGACGGGCCGCCTGCGGCGCCTTCCAGACGTGGCGATGGCAGAGGCTGTGCGCGGCGACCAGCCTCAGAAGCAGCTCGTTCTCCGCGTGCGGAAGCAGGGCGTGCGGTGGGCTGGTCTGAAGGTGAGAGCGGGCGACAGGCGAGTCACCATCACATAAAAGCGTTGTATTCGGCCGTTTGCGAGGATATGCTTGTCAGGTGTCCACTACAGGCATATATTTGCACACGTTTATTGTGCGCATATCAATTCGGTAGGTGTGGCGATAACGGCTATCCTTTGCTTGGATTTTGAAAAAAGCAATACTACTTCGCTTCTGCATGGTCATGGTGGTTCTTAAAGTGATTGGACCGACGAAAATATTTTCATATTTCTGTTTTCTTGAATCGAGCAGCAAAGCCTTCCCAAAAAACAATTTTTCAACCATGGCTTCACAACAGCTTCATTATCGTCGTGTCTACCATCTACCATACTTCTCGCGCTTCGTTTCGCAGCGCCTCTTCACGGTGGGAAGGAAGCGCTTCTTCGTGCTGAGACCCAAGACTAAATAAAATCTTTGTAGGCGAACGAAAAAACTGCAAAATTGCATGCGTGTCCGTACTGCGTTCCCGCAGATTTAACTAAATCTTGCTTTTCTGTTATCGAGACGATTCCCTCGCAAGCCCAACTCTTTCAATGGTTTATGGTGGGGCGTCGTTATAAAATGCTGAGCTATCTGAGTGCCAGCTGCAAAATTCTGCCCAATGGGTGTCGTGTATCTATTTGAGAACAGATAGCCACAACCATGACTTTGCTTACATTTTGGCGAGCGCTTCAAACACCGTGTTTGTGTGACGTCATCGCTGAACAATAACTTACCACACACGAAACAAATCTAACTACAATGAATCAACAGTCCGTGGTTAATCTCGGGACAAGCGGCATCTTTGGACTCCATGCAGATAATGGTGAAAGGTCTGGCTACGCACTTGTCTCGCTCCCAAAAACACCATGTGCATGTCTAAGGCGAAACAACCAGTTTAAGACCAGCGTGCTCCAGGAACATCAACCCCAAAGGCATACCGCTGAGTGCGCTCGTCCGTCCTTCGCAGGAGGAAGTGGGAGCGTCAGCTTTAGCTAGGCGAGCCACGTCATGACTGTTTGTTCGGTTCGCGTCGTCATGTGGCGGGTGACCGTGCTGGTGCTGCTGGCGGGCGTCCAGCTGGCTCGCACGGAAGGCCGTCAGAAGCGCCAATGTGAGTCATCCTGCCACATTTCGCACCACATGTGACGTGCGCGATGTGTACGTGCGTAGACTACGCGACATGTCTTACAGCATGATGGAGTGGAAACGCAGTTCGGATGAAAGGTGTCCCGCTTACATTTAAAGAAAACACACCCTTAACCTTGGAACGATCAACTAAAATGGCTGCCCGTAGCCTTGCCGACCTTGACGCGGCTGACTGTGTCACGAGTCCGTCCAGAACCCTGCCGACCCTGACGCACCTGACTGTGTCACGAGCACGTCCAGAGCCCTGCCGACCCCGACGCACCTGACTGTGTCACGAGACCGTCCAGAGCCCTGCCGACCCCGACGCACCTGACTGTGTCGCGAGACCGTCCAGAGCCCTGCCGACCCCGATGCACCTGACTGTGTCACGAGACCGTCCGGGGCCCTGCCGACCCTGAAGCAACTGTGTGCCGAGCCCGTCCAGGCCCCTGCCGACCCTGAAGCAACTGACTGTGTTAAGAGACCGTCCAGGGCTCTGCCGAACCCGACTGGCAGATTACTTCGTGACTGACTGTGGTCTCGCCGACAGCCATCACGTTCGGCGGGGGCTCTGCGCAGACACCACCGCCGTCGAATGCATGCAAGGACTACGCCGGTCGTGACGGGGTCTGTGACGTCATCGCCACCTGTCCGGCACTGCTGCAGATCGTGCAGAACAGACCCAGTCGTCAGGACATCCAGAACGTGCGCCAAAGCATCTGCGGTAGCCGACGTATCAACTTCGTAAGTGACTAGCTCACCTGGTATCCTGCGGCTGCCTGATCTATCTGGTGAAAACATCTGGGGGCGCCCAGGATCTTCGCTAGGTGAGGGGGCAGGCGCGAACGGCTGGCCTGAAAGCTTCGAATGGGGGGGGGGGGGGCACACTCAGATATCTCTGCTGTGTTGACCAGGGAGCGGGGAAGGGAGTCGGCAACGCAACGAGCACAATGGCGGCTCGTCAAAAGCTAGAGTTGTTGACGGGAGTCTAAACGCTGGTGTTTCGTGTAATGGCCTTGCGCAATAGAAAGGATAATCGGCTCAAAATACAGTATCACGTTAACAGTAATAAGGCAAGATCCAGCATTCCATTCTTACCACATGTATAACCGCGCATTGTGATAAAAATTCGTATCGAATGGTGCAGGCATTCAATGTGACCATGCGTTCGTCGCTGCTGAAGTTACTAGATTCTAAGTTACTAGTTTAAGAAGTTACTAGATTATATTCTAAACATGAAAGGCAGCACGTGGTTCATGACTTTTGACACGGCATGACAGTTTCGGTGCAAACTGAAGTCGAACTCAATCATTCTGAATCCAGTCCGTTCACTTTTCCCACATTGCTTGTAAATGGGCGATCTCCGTTCAGTCCAGAAAAATGAAATAATCCATGCCAATTCATCAGATATCTCCTACGAATCACTCAACCTAGTGTCAGATTAGGGCATATGCAAATGGCGCCATTTTTGGCAAACTTATAATGCGTCGAGTCCGTTCCGATTCGTTTTGGGCCGGTCAGCTTCCCACTGCATTTGACTTTCATTCGTGTCTCTGCATTTTAACGATCCAATGCAGTCCAGTCTGTGGCGTAATCTTTGTTCGATGGATTTTTAGACTTCGTTAGGAGTGCTTATGTTTATTGACGGAGATAGAAGAAACGACATGTGGGGACACATTTCCAAAGTTAGAAATAATTTAATGCTTATCAGCCAGCTGGGCGTTTTTCAGGGGTGATTGATATATTTCATATATCCGTGCCATCAAAACGTTTTCCTGCTTCACCCGAGGAGTGGGTGTTAGTGGACTAACCCTTTAGCTTGCGGACCCTTGTTGATGGCTACTGCGCCCCCTGTTAGTGTTAGAGTTATGTGGGCATTCAGGCGCGAGTGGTTAACGATGCAGATCACTATGTGACGGGTCTGTACTTAACTCCCGGCTGACGAGTGGTTAACGATGCAGATCACTATGTGACGGGTCTGTACTTAACTCCCGGCTGACGAGTGGTTAACGATGCAGATCACTATGTGACGGGTCTGTACTTAACTCCCGGCTGACGTGTGGTTAACGATGCAGATCACTATGTGACGGGTCTGTACTTAACTCCCGGCTGACGAGTGGTTAACGATGCAGATCACTATGTGACGGGTCTGTACTTAACTCCCGGCTGACGTGTGGTTAACGATGCAGATCACTATGTGACGGGTCTGTACTTAACTCCCGGCTGACGAGTGGTTAACGATGCAGATCACTATGTGACGGGTCTGTACTTAACTCCCGGCTGACGTGTGGTTAACGATGCAGATCACTATGTGACGGGTCTGTACTTAACTCCCGGCTGACGTGACTGGCACCCTCCCTGGTCTCGGAAGTCTCTTCTACGTGGGCTTTGGGTCTTGTCTTGGGAGCATCTCTTCCTGGGTTTCGGGGTCAGTAAAGTTAGAGGCGCTCAGTAACTCGGTAAAGGCAGGGGCGCTCAGTAACTCGGTAAGTCAGCGGCGCTATTTGCTTGGGCATGAGGCGCCCTCTTGTGCTGCATGGAACACCATTGCACAGTTATCTGTACGTCCCGGTCTGTGTACGCCCCTCGACCCCGTCTGAGCGCACCGCAACACGAAAAAGTATGATTCCTGCTCTCTCGGGTTTGATCTCGATCTTGGAACGTATGAACTCTTGTCTCAACGATAGCTTTGGAGCAACGCTCGTTGGGCTTATCAGATCATGTATCAGACCATGTCGCCTTGGGGCTCCCACCTCCTTACCCGGTACGGAGGCCTAGCTGAGCTTGCACTAGGTCGAGGCTAGTGAACCTTAACCTGTCAGTCTGCCATTTTAACGCTCATCCACCTTAGCTTTGATGTGCTCATATACATGCACGAAGTTCGTATTTAACTATGCTTAGCGTCGTTCCTCTGCTTAAGTATTCAAGCATGCCTTTAATTATTTCTGAGGCACCCATTTACCTGAGTTGAGACTCTCTCTCCACTAGTGATCGAGGAGTACTCGCACTTGGTCAAGGGCCGCCGTCCACTTACACGCCTTGAGTGTCCTTCCACTTCGATCTTAGGCGTTTCTCTGCTAGGAAATTGGGACTCTTCTCTATCAAGACTAGCGGCGCTACGCTAACGACAAGCGCTGCTGAGCGTGCGCATAGCGCAACCTACATAAAAAAATTCACCTTTCGTGTCTGCGCAGAGATTGTAGACTGCTTTGGTATGTGCGTTGTTTATCTTCGTTGCATTGATTTGTGCTGCTGGTGCAGTCAGAGATTTCACCGAACAGGTTGCCATCACGCTGGTATGATCGAGTGATGGCAGTTGACAGATGTTGTCCTGTCAGAAGATCCGCTTAGTTACCACTGCTGAGTATTTGTCAATTGACAGCAGAGCCGGGTGTTAGCGTAAATGCCTGGAACAATGTCAAACATGTGCGGGTCATGTTAACACGCGTTCGGGTGGGGTTCATTTACCCACCCCCCGGAGGTTTTTCAGAATCGGTTCTGAACGGCGCGGCTAAGCGGCGCCAAATTTTGCATAGCTATAGACAATGAAAAAGTGGATTGTTTGGAATCAAAAATTAAGATGTACTTTGTAAGGCCGGTGACCTACGGCAGGTCAGTCAGGCCATGGGCTCAGGAAGTCAATTTCTCGGAAATCGCTCAATCTTATGCAACAACGGAGTGTTCAACAAAGCCATAATCTCTGAAATACTTTCTTACGTAAAATAGCAATCGAATAAATAAATTGCATTGACCTAGAGTCGTGTATGAAGGTCAGACCAAGTTTAAAACCAACCTATGCTAATTTTCTAGGGTTTTCTGTATTTGGTAGTTTCTGGTTCTCATTTCGAATTTATTGATAACGGAATCTGCATTACACACCTTGCATGGCTTTCTTAGAGGTCGGAATAGGTCACTGGCCAAAAATGACCCAGCCCAGCGTTTGGTTTTTAGGAGTATACTGCCTAGCGTAATATTTGCTGCTCATCAAAATGAAAAATTTAAAGCACTTTCGTATGATTTTGGTCACTATGACCTGCGAAAGGTCAAACAAGGTCACCGACCTTGAATGAGTATGTGCCATTTTTCTTAGAACAGGTATTTAGGTTCTGGGGGCACCTTTGAGACCAGCCTAGAGTTTGACCTTGTTTGACCTTATGTGACCCAAAAGCCATGACAAGTGACCTCAATCTATGACATAAGTGAGTTCACGTACAGGCCAATACACCCTGTAAGTTTGGTGTCTCTAGCTCCCTTGGTTCCTGAGATTTCGGGAGACGGGGAGCTCAAATTGAGCCTCACCCGAGCGAAAGATATACAACGGGCACCCGAGCGTGTGTTAATAGCACAGAGCGGCTAAAGGATGTTTTCGGCCCACAACGGCAACTTAAAGAATGCACCCTAACTCGTTAGTCCTTTTGGTATGGGTATCAAATTGTGCTCTGTCCGAATACGGTTGAACGTTGCGCACTTCACTGGCTATCGGAGTGTATTGCTGTATACAATTTGCGGCCTAAGGGGCCCAGTGGCAAGCACACAGACTGTCTACGTCTGCTCACACCTGGCCGGGACAGGACGGCAGTGTTCTGTGACGGCGTGTCTCTTTGTGTGACCGGCAGCGGCCGGTGCCTCTGTTGTGCTGCGCCAGTAAGTCCCAGCCGCCCACCCAGCCGCCCACCGAGCCGCCCACCCAGCCGCCCACCCAGCCGCCGTCAACGGGCGGCTTCAACGGCGCGCCCGAGGACCACCCCAACCGGCGCCTACTGCCCTCCAACTGCGGCTTCAGCTTCACGGAGAGGATCGTGGGTGGAGTGGAGGTGGCGCTGGGCGAGTTTCCCTGGCTGGCCATCCTCGGCTATGAAGGTACCTTTCAGAACGGACGGACAACGGTTGGCTGGCTTGGGAATGGATGTTTTGTGTTGTGATGAGGGAAAGACAAACACCCCTGAGTCATCCTGCAACAGGGTAGCTAGGGGACAGTCCCGAGCCTTGACCAGACACAGTTTGTCCGAGTGCGGCTCGCGCCGACTCCGCAGCTCCACGTGCGCCCTCCCGTCCGCAGTACAGGGGACCGTTGAGGTGGACTTCAACTGCGGCGGCGCCGTCATCAACGACCGGTACGTCGTGTCGGCTGCTCACTGCGTCACCGACCTGCCGGCCGGCTTCAGACTGGCGACGGTGCGCATCGGCGAGCACGACCTCACCAAGGACTTAGACTGCGTGAGTAGGCGAGCAGCCAGGGCGGGAGGAGCGGAGAGGGGGAGGGGAGGGGCGGGCGGGGGGCACACGCGAACACGTCGAGTGTGGCCAGCGGGATGGTCGAGTCGGCAACAGCGCTGCCCCCGCCTCTGGTCTTCGATGGGACGCCACTGCCAGCGTCCTCATGGAGATGACTGAGTTGATCAAAGAGGCGCCTTCAGTAAACCCGGTACCGAATGTGGGGTTGGTTTGTTACCAGTCAAACACCATCAGCCAAGCTCAGCTCAGAGCTGTTATGGTGTGATGCTTTCGATTGGTAATTAAGTTGTTGCTTTACCGGGAGTACACTACCGGGAATGCAAAGTACTCCTTCAAATATTTTGATTCTGCCTACTGGACCGTACCTCACCCTCCCTGCTCCAGCAGCCCACCATGCCGCCCCCACCCTTCCGGCTCTAGCAGCCTACACTACCAGCCCCCTCCCGGCTCCAGCCGCCTACCATGCCGTCCCCCCTCGGCTCCAGCAGCCTACACCGCCTACCGCCTCCAGGCTTCAGCGGCCCACACTGCCGTACCTCCTCCCAGCTCCAGTATTCATCAGTCAGTTGAGTTTTTCGTATAATACAAGCCTGTGTTCTGTGTAGGTGGATGGCGTTTGCGCTGGTCCTGTGCAGGACTTCAGATCGAGAGATTATCCCGCACAAGGAATACAACTCGCCGAATCGCTTCTGGAATGACATTGCGCTGCTTCGCCTGAACAAGCCCATCAATAATCAGCTGGGCAGTAAGTGTGTCAACTCTTTGTATTGCATGTAAACGCGTAATTGGGGCCTTCCTGATCTACGCTTTCAGCTCCAGTTAAGATACCCGTCATCTCTGTTATTGGGTATTTGCTTTGCTATTTACTTCCGGCTTCAGCGAAGCGTCAGGTTTGGATAATTAGCGTGCTTATTAGGCTATTGGGCATTTCCTTCCGCTATTTGCTGTGGTGTTTAAGCTGCGAACCCCCTGCATTTTTGTATTTATATGTATACATTTGCTGCATACATTATTTGTATTCATACACGTTGGCTGAATTTCTAGTCCTCTCACACCCACTCGTGGTCTCTTTTCAGCCTCGTCGCTTCGATATGCCTGCCGTTTGGCAGCTTCAGGACCAAATCTTTTGATGCCCAGAGGCTTTTTGTCGCCGGGTTTGGCCTGACAACAGCATGTGAGTACTGACTTTGGCATTTATTTCTGTATACCGTTTTTGTCGTGGTGTCCTCGTGGCGTAATGGCGTCCTTGACCAAAAACAACAGCCCGTGTCTAACTTTTCGACGCTTTAAATGTTTCTCGCAAGTCTTTCCTGAGTTGCGTAGGATAACCGTGCATGTTTTAGACGGAAGCTGTAAAATATTTCTTTGATTCAAAAGTCATAGCCCTAGGGCTGTTTTAGTTGAGTCATCATCATGGAAGCATGCTCTTCAGTGTACAGGAGTTGCCTCTACCTATGCCCGTATTTACCCCTATCTTATGTTAACATTAACAAGTGCGAAGTTTGTCGGGCGTAGGCTTTTTATATTGCTCGTCTATTGTATGTCTTCGATGCGTGTGCTTGGTGCGTCTTAAAGGGATTATCCCACCTTTTTCGTGCTTTCCACATTTTGACATTAGACGCGTGCGATTTGTCAGCAATGTTAGTTTCCTCGAAATCTTTCTGAATAGCCCAAAATTTATATCTGAATTCTCCGGCCTTGCGGTATGCATCTCATTTGATTCCCTGCTCACCACTATGAAAAAATACGTTGCATTTGCCTTGCTTTTTCCAACGTGAGTGTTCTGTATCCTTTGCAACGCGCTAATGCGTTAAAACAATCTTATAATAAATGCTGTGAAAGATTGAAACACTATGCTTATAAACAAAAATATATGCGAACGTGGAGCTATTAACACGTGAACTGAACGAAACATTATGCTACGGCTTCATTCTCCCCGCTTTGGCGTTTGCCACAATGCCGCTTCTCGAGGCGCGCTTCGGCTTTGTGAATGGGAGCATCACATGATCCATGCGACGCACTGGTTCAAACTTCAACCAATGTGCTCCTCGGTAACAGGCCGCTGCTCACTGGGCCAGGTAGCGACGTAACTAGCCCTGCGGTTTCACCAGAGTATGTTTCTGAAATATGCACCTAAGGTGGGATGCATCCTTTAAAACTGCACGAAAAGATTTGCCACAAATAAACGTGACTCAAAGGAGGGGATTTGTGTTGCTTTGCGGGCTGGTAGTATGTGCTATATGTGTGCAGTAAAAACTTGATGGCAAGGACAGCAGTCGCGTATCATCAGGACAATAGTACAAGTGTATAAAGTTTGCAGTGAAATTTAAGTAAATTTAACAGACATCGCTAGACATGGCGACGGTTACAGTTCACACAATTCAGCACGGGCTCTGCGCGTCAACAGGGCAGCTGGAAAAATACTGAAACCACGCGACGAAATATATTTTTGACTCCATATGGAAAAGGAAAAAATGATACATTATGATTAGCAGAGGATATGCAGAACCTATGATATCCAATGACTGCCTTTTGGTGAATATAAAAGTGACTCTTAAATTCGAGGATCAAGAAAATTGCTGCAACGCCCGAGTGCGGATAAGCTGGCAATGGCAACGCGGGTACCTCACGCAAATCAATGGTCGCTGATGGGAAAAGGGCCTTGGTTAGAAAGAATGCTACCTGTACGGTCAGACGTCCCCCAATGTTTTTGTACTTTGCGGTGCTACGAAGGGTTGTACCCACGTAAGATGCCCCAATGAGGCACAATATATAAATGACTGCAGATACAGAACATTGGGAAGCTTGTCTTAACTTAAAGACAGATTCCAACAGTTAATTATGTAGTGGAGAGAAGGGTAAAGACCTTGCAGTAGGTTTGCCATCCCCTATTCCAGCTGTATCGACTTTTCCAATAGAGGGCAACATTAGATATTCACTTCGTCTTAGGGCTTCATAAACGGTCGGGTTTTTGCATATTTTGCATCCAAGAAGCCCTTTACGAAAATATTAATGACTGAAAGTGGGAATCCGTTTCCTTGAAAGAATGGTCTGAGCCGATCAAGCCAGGAACAAAATAGATGACAGTTGGAGCTTCAACAGAGATATCTGTAAATAGCCGTTTTCACACAACGTACCTTCAAAGCGTCAGGAATGGATGAGAAAAAGCTTAATCCAAGACCAGTGAACGTTGACTTTCTATAGGAAGAGGTTTCAAATTTGCTCGTCCTCCTCCTTCTTTAGCTTGATGTTAGAATATTGGACGTTAAGGTAAGTGAGAAACTGATGGATATACGACCCGTGCGGAAACAACAGAAAGGAGTATTCGATATATGGCTGGGAAACCTTGGACCGAGAGTCGGGGGGCATTAAATCACAGGTATTCTTCGTTAAAGCACATACAGATATTGCCAAAAGTGGGTCTAAGTGTAAGTCCTTCCACCACCGCCTTTTTGCGTGTGAGGATTTCGTGACATGAGTTCTGGGAAAGAGGTGGAAACAAGCTGCCAGCGAAACACATGAACGTGGGACAAGACTAAAACTATGCACGCAAATGTCTTGCTTTGTTTTAAGCGGGATATTTGTGAAAAGGCTCAACATCCTAAAACTGTTGTGAAATGTGTTATGAAACGTGAAAAGATTGGTCAGAGAAATAGATAAATGTAATAAATCAGCCATCCGGGAACATTCCTCTGCGTGTGAAGCCCACTTTAACATCCGTAAATTTTGGGTATCAGGGCGTTGCAGCAGTTCTGTCTATCCTAGGATTTTAATATCGCTTCATGCTCATCGAAAAACTGCCATTGAATATCACTGGGTCTGCACATCCTTTGCAGATTATAAGGTAGCCTTTTCATACGGAGTCAAAAGGTATTTCGTCGCTAGATTTCTTTATTTTTCAAGCTGTTCTGTTAATGCGCAGAGAGATCGTGTTGAGTTGTGTCAACTCAACCGTTGTCACGTCCACGATGTTGATCAAATGTACCTATATTTCTTTGTTATTTTGTATGAGCATTGTCCTGGCGGTGATACGCAGTGCATCGAAGCGTCGGCGACTTGCATAAATGATGGGTACTGCTGTCCTTACTATGACGTTCCTGCTGCTTCGTGCTCCCGAAGATGTTCCATTTGTGTGACTGGGCATCCACACGCGCTCCTGCGGAAAACGGTGGGTGGCTACCGCGATCGGGTCACCACCAGCCAGCCGTCCAGCCGCTGACTGTGCCTGCCCCGCCTCCTCTGCCGCAGTCGGCGACTCCAGCGAAGTGCTAATGAAGGTGCAGGTGCCGGTGGTGGCCCAGGACCAGTGCGCGGCCGTGTTCCGGCGCCAGCGGGCCGTCATCGGGTCGGGCCAGATGTGTGCCGGAGCCGAGAAGGGCCGCGACTCGTGCTCGGGCGACTCGGGCGGCCCGCTGATGGCCGTCGACCGCGTCACTGGGCCGCCCTACCGGCTCATCGGCGTCGTCTCGTTCGGCGTCACGCGCTGCGGCACCGAAAACGTGCCGGGCGTGTACACGCGCGTCACCGAGTACCTCAACTGGATCATGGACCACATGCGTGACTAGCAGGCGCGTACAGCGGCGCTAGACGGGCGGGCCGGGCGGGTCTCCCCAAGCCGTGGCGGTGGCGCGCGCGGCCGCGCCGGGCAGGCGGGCCGGAGGACTGGCCAAGCTGTGGCGGTGGCGCGCGCAGCCGCGCCGGGCAGGCGGACCGAGGGACCGGCCAAAATGTAGCGGTGGTGCGCGCGGCCGCGCCGGGCAGGCGGGCCGGGGGCTGGCCAAGCTGTAGCGGTGGCGCGTGCGGCCGTGGGGCGGGCGGGGTCTGGCGAGTTCCCGCAAGCCGCGTGAGGGTGGGGCGGGT